CCCAAAGCCCTAAACCCTGAACACTAAACCCTAACCCCTAAACCCCTAAATCCCTAATGTTGAAGAGTTCCCAGGCCTTGATCCGAATCGGCAGCCGCTGGGCTGCCATAAGTCGGCTTACGGGTGGAGGGCATGGGCTTATGGGGGCTTTATCGGTTTTCGGGTTTAGGGTCCAGGGGTTTTGGGTTTAGGGTTTAGGGCTTTTGGGTTTAGGGCCTAGGGGTTTAGGGTTTAGGGTTTTCGGGTGGGGTGGTTTATGGGGTTGTTGTGCAAGGAGTTATGAACCTAGCAGTGGGATTTATGGAGGCTTTGAGAGGAGCATCAGGTCTAGCTATGCATTGGTGTGGGATGCCTAGGTTTTCCCTAAACCCTAAACCCTAAACCCTAAACCATGCGTGTGTTTAGTAAGGCGTTCGAGAGGTTTGTACAGTTCGCAGTCGGAAACTGCCGGGTTTCTCAGGTTGGTTTTGGGTTTAGGGTTTAGGCGGGTTTAGGAATGCCGGAAGGATGAGAAAATCTTAACGAAACACAGGCCAAGCGAAAGAGTTTAATATCGACTACAAGGGGTTGTAGGGTTACTTTGGCTTATCCCTGACATCTAAGCTTTATGAGGGCTTCTGGGTTGAGGGTTTGGGGTGTAGGCGTCGGGCTATAAGTAGTGTTTATGCTCCAGGGCGAGGTTTGGTGTCGTTGCTTTTTAACTGTTGCTATCACACGGCTATGGTGATGAGTGTTAGTCGAACGACCGCCAGGGGTATTAATTCAAACCATGAATACTACAATTTTCTCGTTAAGGATATCTTGCGGATGTCTGAGGCATGTTACAGGCTGTTCGGGTTTCACTTGTTATGTCCTGGTAAAGCATTAGATGTAGAATGCAGGGTTTCGAGTTTTCAGCCGCTTGGACTCAGGTCTTGATTGCTGCAGACGTTTAGGCTTGGGCTGTAGGTCTGCAAGGTTTGGAGTTGGAGGTTGCAGGCTTCGTTTGCCATGAACTTCTGCACTTAATACACAGCTGCGGCTATGTAGTAATTCAATACCCTAAACCCTAAACACGAGTATGTGATTATTGGGTGCTTGAAGCCAAGGGTTGTCGAACTGCTCACGAGATATGATGCCGGACGAGATGCTTCAACACATCTGGATCGTTCCCAAAGGGTCTAGGCACTTTCGACTGCAGTGCAAGTGATCTGCCTAGACGACCAGGCAGCTGGGCAGCTTCTGCAACACAAGCCGGAGAAGGCACGACTGTCTAGTGCGGGACAGCACGGCATCCAGAAACCATTGGTCGTGTTTGGGATGGCCAGGGGCCACCGGGGCACGACGGTGCGGAGGGAGCGGCAGCCAAGAAGCACAAGGTGCCGCGATCGGAGCTGTCAACATGGTTTATGAAGCCTGTGCCATTGCTTGCTTGTCGTGGCCGAGAGGCGACCAAAACTGCCACATAACACCCTTCTTGAACTGGCACCGTCGAGACGCGTGCCAAAGAAAGCTAATCGTTTGGTTCAATTCCTGGCTGCAACGAATGAGGGTAGACTATCTGAGTTGTGGAAACCGAGGTGTGGACATGCAGCAGGTGGCGCGCGTGACTTCCGGCGGCCCCAAGGGCTATTCGACGCTGCCAACGCAAAGCCCAGTCGGGGTGAAGAGCACGTGGACTTGCCACCATTGAAGCTGCGAAATCAAGCTCCCACCGGCGTGCAACCCTGCCTACCGTCGGGTGGCCTGGAGGGGGACACTGCGGAGGAATTCTCATCTGATGTTGTTGCCAAGACCCGCCGAACATCCAATGCACCAATGCCGAGCTCTCGGAAGTCGATTTTCAAGGAGGCCGGAAATGCGAGCGAGTGAGCACTTGCCAGTAAGTACCGCCTTGTGCGTGTTACAGCAGGCTGCAGCGGCCTTGGAGCTGCACTACCAAGCCGAGAGAGGGTGGTGCTCCCGCGCCCCGCGGCTTGCTGCCTAAGCAGCACGTGGAGGCCGAGGTGAAGCGTTTAGCAGGGCTGCGCGTCAAGCTCGTGAAGCAGATCCGGGTGGCTCGTTCCAGGGTGGCGGCCCTGTACTCATTCCGGACACCGAGCTCCACCCACTCGCCCGCAGCACGCGCCGGTCACAAAGCGGCCAACAATTTCTTCGGTCGGCGCGGCCAGCACACTGCTCCGCCATGCTGGCGTCCCAGCTGTACCGAGCGGGACACGTGCAACGCGGGGAGTGAGTGCCCAGTCTTCCAAGCAAATTTGCAACTTTACGGCTCTGACACGGAGGACTTCCTCTGCGCCATGTTGCGCGAGGGTCCCTTCACCTCTCAGAGCCGCCTCGCCAGCCTGAATGTCCTGACCAAGCAATTCGGCTGCGAAGTTCCGGAAGANNTCCTCTGCCGCCCCTCCCAAAGGCGCGCCAAGCCGTCAACAGGTGCGTGCCCGAGTGAGTTTCAAGCACCGTGGCTGTACGGGAGGGCGCGAGTGCCGCATCGCACGTGCGAAGGCAGAGGGGGCACTAATTCCAGAGCTGGCGGAGGACTTCACTCCGCCAAAGCGTCCAAGGACCTTCGAGCCACAGCTCATGTACGGCCTGGAATTGCTGGAAGGGGAGCTGCAAAAGCAGAAGCAAAGGTGGTCCTTAAAGCCCTTAGGACATTATGGAATGTTGAGGGGCTCCTTTTGCCTGGGTTTTCAATGTTTGAGACATGGTAATGAAAACGTGAGCTGGTCCTCAAGAGCAGGCGGTGGGTTTATTATCAAGCCCATTTCGGCAATAAAGAAGCAAGACGAAAACCCTAAACCCTACACCCATCAAAACTGCGCCAACCCGCCCCACAAGGCAAAACGAGAGCTCCGCTCAAAACCGCCCGAGGCCCCCGACCTCACCCTCCGCGAACAGTCCCTAGATGTGGGGCTTAGGGTTTATCCCTGAGAGCCCAGTTGCTATTGGGTTATGGGTGCCCTCAACCCTAAACAGTTATGGGTAGTAGAGGTTTATATGGAGCTCAAGGAGCAGTAACCCGCCTGTTCCAACTATAGCCTGAGATATCAAACGTCTAGATTCAGTCTTCATGCTCCCTACGAAGAGCCGAATTAAACCCCAACCCCCCAAAGCCGTTAAGCCGAGGTATCTCACCTGCTGGCATCCTCATGGTGCTCTGACTTTCTGCGCGGCCTTCTTCACGAGCAAGATGCATCTTGGCTCTACCCTAAACCGTAAACCCTACACCCAAAAGGAACCCAATTCTTGCCTTCCAGCAATTGTCAGGGTTCTATGTTGGGACTGTTGTGATGCTTTGTGTGCGTTGCAACCAACCTAAGCCATAGTTCGCCAGCAAGATGCGTTTTGGCTGTTAAATGCAGCAAGCTTGTCACGCTTTCGCGAAAAGTATTGGCGCCTAAGTTGGGTTTGAGGGTTAGGACCTAGGATGTGGGCTCAAGGGACCCTAATTTTGAGTGTTATTTCGGGTCCCTGTGCATTGCAAATGTGTTTTGGTGTTGTTTCGAAGTTTCACAGAATTAGGAATTCTCAGGAGTCTCCCTTTATTCTGCTCTCATCCGACAGGGCCGCGCAATCCACCACAGAAGACTGCCCGGGGCCGCGCGGATGGTTTGCCACGGCCTGAGCCCGTTGAAGAGGGTGGGGTTGATGGCAGCAGGCATGAGGGTCTAGCCCAAACGCAACTCGTGAAACTGCCGGAAAGCCCAGCAAACTCCGAAACTTGCATTCCTGAAACTGTCAATCGCTGTGGCCGCACCTGTCGGCTCTGAAACTGTCCTTTGAAGCTTTCGACTGATATCTTGGCTTGAATGATTAGGAATATCCTTCCCATATACAACCTTCAGAAACATACTGTACCGTACTCCTGAACTCCATAGCGAAGTTTTGTGAGCTAAACCCCTGAGCCCGACTTTTCGGTGTTTTGGAATCGATTTTGTTGAGGATATTGGACAGGGGCCCCGGAATAATGACCTACTTAGGAGTTGGAGGTTAGTTAAGGGCTGTGGGTCGGCCTCAAAAACTTTGGGACGCAACAACTGCGATCACCGAGCTCTGACTTCTCCTGCTTGGATAAGACTAGAACCTAAATTCTAAACCGCTGGGTAAGGTTGGAATTGCCACCCTCCTATTTCGCTTCCCCTTCGTCGGCGAGTACCTCACGTGTCGTGGCTTTCGAAGGGTTCGGATAACTGAAGAGTAGTAGGGTGTACCCATGTGTAAGCGGTGGAAGCAGGTATGGCTAGGCCAAGGAAGGGTTTAGCGGTTCAGGGGTTAGTCTTTTGAGTCATACTTGTATGAGTGGACAAAGGTATGGTTAGGCTAAGAAAGTTTTCGGGATATAAAATTTATGATTTAAGTTTTTAGTCAGAGGTTTAGGGTATAAGGGTTTAGGGTTAACTTGTCAACCCAATACCCTACTGTTTCCGGGTTTATACCCCCTTCATGTTTATGGGTTCATGCCCTTGATGCTGGAGGCCCTAACAAACCATGAGCTTCACTCCCTGAGATCCTGCAGACCGGAGAAACCCTAAATCCCAAACCCTAAACCCTAAACCCTAAACCCTAAACCCTATACTCTGAACCCCGAACCCGGTCCCCGCCAACACCCTGCCATGGCCACAACTCGAATGTAGAAGCCTTACCCGAAGGGCCCAAGGTACAGTTATGGCGGAGACTTCCTTCAATCATAATAGTAACTCCTAGCCCTAAACCCTAAACCCCTAAACCCTGAACCCTAACTTTTAAACCCTAAACCCTATAAGCCCTACATCGGTACTTGGGACCCTTTGGGTTATAAAGAGCTTGATTAGCAATACTATTCTGTGTTCCTTATGGTCCCTGTCTGCACGTCCGGTAAACTCCTCCAAAGCCCTGTTCTAACCAACCAGGCCCCCAGAGTAGCCACAAGCCCCAAAACCCTCAAGACCCCTACCTAACATCTCTAGGTCGAACTGTCTATCTATCGACCTATCTACTTGTGTGTGTGTGTGTGTCTCTCTCTCTGTCTCTCTCTCTCTCTCTCTGTAAACCCAAATCCATCTGTCTAACAAACACGACCCAGTCGTCAGACGTCAGGTTGGTAAACGCCCGACCGGTGACGCAATCGATGTCGGACAAGCCCTGTCGTCACATCAAAGGGTTTAGGGTTCAGAGTTTACGTTTAAGGGTTTAGGGCGTTTAGGGTTCAGAGTTGAGGGCTGCTGGTTTTCGTTTTAATTAGGGTTGAGCGTGTTCAGTTTGGGCCCTTGGTTTAGATGGGGCCCTTTTTGCGTGTGGGCTGTAACGGCCTTAGTTTTGCCGGCTTTCCTTTCAGGGTGATCAGAGTTCTGTCATTTAGGGTTGAGAGTTTTGGCTTCGGGATTCATGGAATATTGGCAACAAAAATGCAGGGTTTGGGGCTGTGAGGGTTCATTGATTTCGAGCTCAACATGAGAAGAACACAGAAGAACACACACACACACACACACGCGGCAAAGCACACAAGCACAACCAACCGCCACTTAAATCAGAAGATGTGATAAGCAGAGCACAGACAAGACTTACATGCCGTTCCAGCGCCGCAGAAGACCAGCTAAGTATTAGAAGCTCCGGGCCAAGAACTCAACAGAAAAGCAACAGCACAAAAGCAGCCACATGAACAGAACCGATTAACAAATACATAGAAACGTAAATAGAAACCACCACCGGTAAACACAAGCAATCAGATAGACCAATAAAAAACTACCTAGACAAGCAAAGTTAAAATTAGCATATTTAATTACACATATAAGCATGTATGTAAGCATGTGTATTTATATATGCACATGATCACATATGTATACACACACCGTGTATGTACACATACAGTAATATGCATGCATATGTACATATATATATATATATACGCACATACATGTATGCATATATGCGTACCTACATACACACCCATGTGCATAGTACACATGTTTTGTTATATATGTATGTATATTTATGTTTGTAAAATTAATTACCCAAAATCTGGCAGTAGCGATAAGAATACCCCCTAGTTATAAAAATATATTTTGAATATCTATTGTGGGGGGGGGGGGGGCCCCCTTTTAATATTAGGGGGA